ATGTTTTACATAGTTGCAAAAACAGAAATTTTATGACATGTTCTACTTTTATTCCTCATTATACAATAACATTTTCTACTTTGTCTCATACTACTTTTCCTAATTATCATCTTAAATAGTTACTAATATTTTGGGCAAAAGAAGCATAACTTCATTAGCAATTTCTCTGTTACTAGACATTTATGTTGCTTCCAGTTTTTCACAATTATAAAATGCTGAAGTGAGTACTGTCATGCCTAGAGCTCTTTTCTGCATTGATAACCAGAGGAAAATTAATGAGTCCAAAAGATGAATATTTTAGTGGTTTTTCATATACAAGGGTACTTTGAAAAGTTCACAGAAAAACAGAATTAAAAGATAATATAAATTCTTCCACGAACTTTTTGAAGACCCTTGTATACTGCCAAACTCCTTTCCAGAAGGCCTGTGCTGACACTGTACAACACCAGCAGGGTCTGGGGACAACAACCCTGCCTCTACTTCCCTGGCATTGTGCATGAGCATGTTAAGGTGGTGAGATTGTGGAGAATGTTTTCCTAACTGTCTTGTTTCTTTTATTATTTAGCACTCCCAGCTTCCCTTGCAGCTAGGATGCAGGCACATGACCTAGATTTTTCTAAGCAAATGCACCCATGTGAGACCCACATGCAAAAAAGAAAAAAAAAAAAAAGTAACAGCTTTATCAATCTAAAAACTTCCTCAAGGATAAAAGGGAAATGAGGGAAATATCAGGGTTTTAGAAAAAAAACTTATTGTAGCCATAACCATCCTTTAAAGCATAACCACTCTTATAAATAATTAAATAGGCAACTGCCTAGCCGATGTGTCCAACAGCTTCTTCTGCTTGGGCTAAAAGGACGTTCCTTCATAGCTTATGACTTTGATTCTTGTTAAAGTGCCAGAAGAAAGCTCATACTACTTGTATCTTTAAGGCTTCTTTTTAAAGTAAAAAACTCAAGGGGCTGGCCCGTGGCTCACTCGGTAGAGTGCGGTGCTGATAACACCAAGGCCGCGGGTT